AGGATAGCATGGATTTATTTTATTTCGTTAGTTCTCATCAACTGCTTGCAACCTGTGATATCTAAACTCATAATTACATAATGGGTTTAAATTACTTACATGAAAGTGTTTACTTGGAAGTTATGTTGAAGGCAAATTAGCACAGTATAGCAAGGATGTGAAAGAACATTCTACAACATTGATTGTGACAACAGTTCAAACGGCCAGAAACAAGTGATTATATAATGAGTAAACGTTGATAGGAATAAAATGAGTAAAACTCAGTTAATAAAATAAGATTACTAATTTGAAAGATAGTTGAAATAAAACTCTATGACGTAATAAATGCAAGAAAGAGTTTAAAAAATAATAATATTTTTAAGATGCAGCAAAAGAACGTTTGTCACCAAGGCAAGGAAAAATTAATAACCATCTCCTTTTGAACGCATAATTCAGGTTTTTTGACGCCTGATAGCAATGGCTTCAGCAAACTTCAGAAGACCAGTTTGGCTGCTTACCAATCACATTTAAGGATTGCAAGGTATTAACTTGATGTCCAGTATCAAGGAGAGCTTTGGTGATTGCACTGTTTAGAGACTTTCCTTCTCTTGTTCTGAGGCATTTTGGAACATGCCCTCCTTTCTGTTAGGCCAATGTAGTTGTTTTGGGAGGTACACCTAAATTTATAAGTACAGTTGGCGATAAAATGAAAGGGGTGCTTGTCAGCCTTTGATTGAGTTGTTGAACATGTCGTTTTATACAGAATTAAAAGTTTGGCTGTTGGATAAGTTCTGGTTAGTGTAGTGTACAGTCTCCTGCTGATTGTGTTTGCGACATCATCACCTTTGAGGTTGAGATTTATAGATATCGCTTTTTTATTGACCGTAATTACTCCCATCTCATTTTCTTATGGCTTTTCATATTTGTCAATAAATTATTGTGGGTAACAGTTGTCTCTTATTCATACTTCCACGTTCATCAACTCTTCTTCCAGTTTGTCGGTGGTATATATCCTTTCTACCCTATAAAATAGTGTTTTAACCAATGCCTTCTTGTAACGAATTGGACAAAAACTACTGACATTCAGTTAAAGACCATTCCACATACATTTTCGATAAGCCGAATATTAAACTGTCCCGTCTCCTCTAAGTTTTGTGAAGTCATCAGGAAAGTGGAACATGTCATTTCGTTCATGTTCTATGGTAAATCATACGTTAGGATGAGCATTATTGAATAGTTTAAGCAGGCGGATTGCATGCCGTTTATTGTTAAAGACAATAAACGTGTCATCAACATATCTGGAGTATTTCGTCGTTTTTCTAATCGCCTGTTTAAGAACCATGTTTTCAAGACGCCCCATAAAAATATCTTCCATAATTGAACCTAGTGGACTTCCCATTGCTACGCCATCGATTTGACGATATATAGTGTTATTAAACTGGAATTGAACGTCTGTTGTGCATATTATTGGTAGTTTTTTTACTTCTGAGGCTGGTAAAGGTAGGAGGTCATAATTTTGACAAAATATATAAATAATTTCGAAAAGTGTTATCCTGGTGAACAAATAAGTTACGTCAAAATAAACCAAGAACTTATCGGCAACATTCGTACGATTTAGTCTATCAGCAAACTGGAATGAATCTCTTAACGTATAACTTGCGAAACTCCGACGGACCGGTCTATTTTTCAGCTAGCCAGCATGCAACTTTGTGATAGATCTAAGGAGGACATAGTGTTTGGTAAACCATACATATGAGGTAGACGTGAGCCACGTCGTCTTAGATAATTGTAAGTAGAATTAGCAAACATTTTCCTTTTTAGAAGTTCTCTAAGCATGCCTGTGATTCGTTTCTCTGTTGAATCAGTTGAATCTTTCTTGGATTTATCTATTTGATCGTCTAGAATAGATTTATCTTAGTGACACAACCAGCTGTATTCATTGAGACGACACCTGAACATTTGTCCGGTGGTAAAATCATCACCTCATTAATTTGTCAAAAGCACTGGCTTCAGTCCTTAGTCGTGTAATGAGTAATTTCATTGAATTAGTGTGCGATTTGGTGATGCGTCTGATGTTTTTAGCGATGGTGGAAGCCTAAATGAACACGAAGATTTTACAAACTGACATGGGAATCAGTCTGACGTGAGACATTCTCCATAAAACTTATTATATATTCACTAGCAAACGAGATAAATATGAATTTGGCCAATTTTTCAATGATCGCTCAAGGTTATAGAACAGTTTGTTATCTAGTCGCCGTTATTTCTGAAGATTTAATCGACTTCAAATTTCAAAACATTTTGGAATAATAAGCAAGAAATGCTCAATAATCGCATGATGAGGAATCAGAAAAAAAGTTTTTTAAAACTAGATTTAACAATAAAAAAATACTCTGAGCCTATGATTTATGGACGAATGATTCATATGTACCATATCAGGTCTTGGATTTTGATCTATTTGGCTAAATAGCATTTTGGCATTTTAGCTTATATTAGTTCGTGATAGAAACCTTAAATCTGGTTCCTAATTCTAACCATCAATTGTAAGTCATAATCGTAATTTCTCCTACTGCTTTATAACCCTCATTTAGTCTTAGTTTGTAGGTGGACATTCTTAGGGTCACTTAATGTTAAGACTGTTATTTATGTGGGTTTACATTATATTGAATATAGTCAAGTGGTGATTTAGTTAAATTCAGACTTATTTTCATAGTTTACATTACTGACCAATTTGAGCTGAACAACCATTGAAAATCAGAAAGCACTGGATAATTGTTTCATCCTAGTATGGGTTTACTCAACAATGAGCAACGAGTGCATTATAAAGCGTTCAGAGATCTCAAGTATCATAAGAAGGTTATGCCATAACCTAAATCTTATAAAAATAAGATAAAAATGATTTGCAGATCAGAAATATTCAAGACAATTGTCCGATTAACAGATGTCAAAAAGGAATGAAAAACTTTCAAGTGATAATGATAATAATTCCGAAGACCGAATTAATAATTAATTACTGATTCGAATGTTACATATATATAATGATTTGTATGGACAGGTCAGCTTTGAACTGAAGAGTTAAAACCACTTCAGCGCTCAAATATTTTTGTTATCCTCCTTCGAGATAACTCATTTGAAATGGTAGATTATTCGTAATGATATTTACAGTGAGATAATGTGATCAAAAGTCATGAGGTTGTTGGTTATTTTAAAGTCACTTTTTGAAAGATAAATCAAGTAATAGTCACTTTGCTCGGCCGACATAATCTAATCGAAAAAGGTAGTAAACTTATGAATACATGTTGATTTAGCTCAAAACGTAAGTTCATCCTTAACTCATCCATAAATGATAGGCTTGGCAAAAAAATACAATACGAAACTTTGGAAATTAGAAAGACTTCCTCTGAAGTTATGAGATTCTGTTTTTTAGGATGTTCTCAACACTTTATCCTTTAAATTCGGGGAGCATTTCCCAGGTCGTAGTACCGGTTTTAAGTAAATGTCATTAAATATAACAAGGTGGACATATTTTGCAAGTACTTGGCGGAGTTTAAATACTTCATTTTTGACTATGTCGTCACTACACATTTATTTAATCAGCGAAGATGGAAATTGAACCAAGTTTTTCTTCCTGATCAGTGGCACCCGGCTAAGAAAATCCATACACTGATCATTCTAAGTTGATTTTCCATGTGTAGATATTTCTAGGTAGAGATTTATTGTAAAAACTAACACATCAGTTCTTACATTGTCAGCACTAAAATTGGCATGTATAAACAATTTTATACGAATCTAGATAAGATACCATTAGCAGTTTTGTATTGCAGTTTATACATTTAAACAAATGAATCCAAGCATAGAATAGATTATATAATCTAAAATAAATAATTTCAGGAAAATGTTAAGTCAAACAGATACATTGTGCTTTATCACCATAGTAAACACTAAAAGCTGCAACTAACAACCTATTCGTCCTTGTTTGAGATTAAGTTATATTGTATTCACTCTTACACTTGAATATCAATCTTATGTGATATCTCACTGGTAGACATTAGTACATTGTATACTGTCTTTATTGATCTATCAAATGATACTAATTAATAATGAATCCTACTGGGAATTTGAACACAAAGACTTGGTAAATTGCTTATGACGGTATTACACAGAACAGAAAAAGTTCATTGATTGATGTTCATCAGAAGAATAAGGAATTATTTTAGGCCGTTTTATACTGAGGGTTATGTGAAGATGAAATCAAACCAATATCATTCTTCCGATCATTACTAATTGATACAAAGTAACTAGTTTCAACTTTATTCTTATGGGATAATAACTTATATTGATTAGTTCACTACATTTATACCTCCGTATTCCATAAATTTCTATCATGGATTATAATTGCTCACATTATTACAAACTCCCAAACAGTATTGTATTTTTTTATGACACTACAACAGCTATTATCTGGTATCTATTAGCAAAATTATACTCAGCATTTAAGAGAATGGTTTTTCTCTGGGACTCATCTGTCGTTCCTACCTACCAATTACAATTAGCATAATGAGTCTTATTTATGATGCTTCATATATCAATTAGCAATCAAATTGGCTGAAACTATCTTATGTCACCAAATATCAAATCTCTCTATCCTTATTGGCTAGTTAACCTTTTTATAAGATTGCGTATTCACTTTTATAAGCAGTCACTTCTACTTCATGTTCCTCCTATTGATTAAACTAAACCTGCTCATCAATTGGATGAAGGGGGTGTCATATTAATACTAGAATTGAGAGTAAAAGTGATTATTAATAATTTTCTGTTTGTGTGTGTGTCGAAAATGACGTAGCTAAGACAACAATTAAATGTCAGTGTACCAACCCCATCATATATGAAAATGGGCCAATAACTCGCATTGAAATTTGATTGGTTAAAGACGACAGCTAATGGACATTTACTAAATAAGAGAGGTATAAAAACAAATGAATTAAACCTCCCGAATTATTCACATCACATTCTTCACTAACTATTTTTTGTACACGAGAATCTGTCAACTAGTTTTCATTTACTCTTGTCTATAGATTAACGGTAAGTAATCATGTATTTCTTTGATGTTAATTTTCGACAACATTCAATTTTCTATATATTATAAACCTATAAGATTTCTATAGTTATCGTAACCATGGTCAGGTGTATAAGCCTTACTACGGAGAAGAGATATTTAATTCATGTGTCAATTGAAACTGTTGTTAATACATTAGTAGACCACATTGCTTAGTCACTAGTGGATTATAATTTTCTACCATGGTTAAAAATTTCATTTTCATGTATAGTGTATTGAAATTCAGTAAAATTAATGTAGTCTGATGCACATATATACCTGATCCTACGTTGTAGCTGACTGAACGAGTCTGATGTAGATACTTGTTATGCAAACAAGATCATGCTGCTTCACTATCGTGTATATTATTCAATACGTAGTATAGGTCCTGGTATTTAACACAGTCATTTCCTCTTTGAAGCTAAGTAATTGTATTTAGAAACCTGAGTTGTTTTAAAATTAATCGTAATCAAAACTTGTAAACTGATAGAATATGAAGTTTGTAATAAGAGTTAGCTGTTACGTGAAATATACCAATGACATATGCTTATTGTTTCTAATTCGAAAAAGTTGTGATTTATTGGTGCAAATAGGAATAATTATTTAAAATCCACTGATAAAAATGATTCTAAAATGCCATATTCCCTGTTACCATGTAATCCATGTTACCTTTAATCAAGAGGTATATTACGAGCTGTTTTATTTCGATGGACATAGAAAAAAGTTCAAACGTTTTAATCAGTGATATTATTTGAAAGTTGCATTGAGAAGGATATCATTATTAATAAGAAAATGTTGACTAGTAGTTCTAAATTACTGATTATCAGTCTTAATGCTTCATTCATTTTTAAAAGAATAGTTTGATCATGAAATATGAAAATCTGTGATTACTTCATGTTAAGATATTTAGATGAATTAGACCATACTTAAGAGCTGTAACATCATTGTGTGTCTCATGGAGGTAATTAATTTTGAATTTAGAATTCAGTTGATATGATTATTTAAAGTACCCACTATTAATTGCATGGCTAATAAATAGATTGATATATGTTTATCTTCCTAGAAGCAACTTTCTTCAATCTAAAATACTTTTCAGTATTTCCCTTCTTGGTTTAGAAATTCACAATTGTAGGCCAAATATAACACGTGATATTGAACTCATTTCTCAACTAAAACGACAATAAGGGATTATGTATTACTCTTCAGTCAATTTGTAAGGAATTTTAATGATTAAAAGTTTTGAGAATGATCTCCTGAGATGTCCTCTTTGCTTTTTATAGCTCATCAACTTATAAGCTTGATAAGAAAAATCATATGCAATTAATTGTTTTAAGATATTAAATCTCTTTTCAAGCAGTATCGCTCAATAGTATTTAAGGAGACTTGTTTTCACCAAGTCAACGTTAAAAATATAGATAACTTAATATGATGTCTGATTTTATTCTTATAATCTCTTATTTTCATTACAGAATTAAACATGATTTCCCAACCAGTCCTATCATCATCGTCATCATCATCATCATCTGTTCATGGTCTTTCTACATCAGACAATTTCACAACACCTATAGCATCACAATCAACTTTATTAAATACCCTTGGTTTACACAATCTCAATTATGAATATTTACCGTATATTCTCAACAACTTTCTCAATCCAAACAATCATCATCAAAATGATTGTAACAATACGCCTTTACATAATCAATATCATCAATTAATACCAAACAATTCTGATATTTTAAATTTACATGCTCTTCAAATACCAATTTACGAAATGATAGCTGCTAGTCGCAATAATAAATTTAATGATTCTATAATAAATAACAATCCTATGGTAGATATAACATCAATACCTAAGAATTCTGAAAATAATTCATCATTTACCAATTTCTCATTAACATCATCATTAACCAGAGCGATTAGTTCAAATACAAATTCAATTGGTTCACAAATTCTACCTATTTGTACACCATTACTTCAACTGGCTATACGTCATGCATTAGCTGAATGTTTTCCAAATAATGTACAATTACATATTAAAGGTAGATTAGAAATATCAATGAATACTATAGATAATAATAATGATGAAAATCCGAACCATGTTAATACTACTGCTACTAATACTAATGGTAGTAACAATAGCACAACCACTCTTTATTTTAATGATAGTTATGAATTACCGACAAAATCATCCAATTTTTCAAATGATCACAAACAAGATAATAATAACAGCAATAATTCAATATACCAGAAATTAATTAACCAAAACTCTACAACATCCCGTCGTAAACCATTAAATCCTAGTAAATGTTATCCATCCGATATACTTTACAATAATCATTTTAACAATGAGCAGTGTGAAAACGACACCCATATTAACAATGATAATAATGGTAACAATAATAATAATTTCAATTTATTACATATAAATCAATCAACGAGTCCATTATTATCAACATCAAGTCCAACAAGTCCGTCATCTGATTCTGGTGTATTAGATTTGTCACATGGCGGTTCTCTAGCCGATTCAGCACCAATTACACCTTTAAAAGAATTTCATGTCTCACATTCACTTGGCATTAGTAATGATAAGCTAAATTATAGTAATAATAATAATAACATTATAATTGACGATAATCATCATTATCAATATTTCAATATACATGATCAATATGATTTACATTGTTTTAATCGTGAGCAAGATATTTTAGAATCATATAAAAAACAATTAGCTGCATTTAATCAAATTCAAGCTGTATGGAAGATGTCAACATCATCAAATAGTGAAACATTATCAAATTCTTCATTAAAATTTGATTCAAATGATCATAAAACAATATACAGTAATAATTTTGATGTCAAACAAAAGCCTAATTCTGAACCGAATACACCTGTAAAGATAGGACGTCGTACACGTGCAAATGTTGGTCAAACTGGACGTTTAACTTCAATTAGACGTCAAAGTACCAATCGTCGTTTTCCCTGTAATCAATGTAAAGAAGAATTTCCGTCATTGCATACTTTAGAGCAGCATACATTATCACAACATGGCACTTATAGATGTCATATATGTCAAGCTCAATTTACACAACGATCAAATTTACAACGTCATGCATTAAAACATGTCGGTTTTAAACCATTTGAATGTCGGGTTTGTTCTAAAGCATATTATCGTAAAGATCATTTAATGCGTCATATGGAAATGGGACATCCAGGATTTACACCGAGAGACAATATCACTGTACATTTAACATCATCCGAAAGTTTAGATTATTTAACTCGATCAAATAGTTTAGCTGAAATTCAATCAATTCCTGAAAATTATGAAAAACAACAACCTATGTTCACTGACGAAACTTTAATTGAAAATGAGTATTACAACGAGAATGAGAATGAGAATTTAGATGATATAAAATTGTCTACTTCACCAATCAATAAATTACACAATACTGATCCAATATATTCTCCTATAAAAGATCAAATCAGTTTATCTTTACCAGAAGAACAAATAAATGATTCAGCATAAACTATACAATAATTATAATAAATTAAACTATATTTACAACATTTCAATTTCAATATCCTTTTGTTAACAGGTCGAAATTCTTCCAAATAATACACCATTCCGAAAATAATTAAGAATAAACAATTCCGGTGAATTCATCTTCAGTTCTTTAATTGTATATAAATTCATGTCATCATGTAAAAAATTTTTTTTCTTTGCTATTCCAAACACTATCCTTAATTTTTTTAACTTTTCCATAATAATTATTTTTCCATATTTGTTTGTATTTAATAAATTATAAGGCAATATCTATTTTCTACTTTTGTATTGATTAATTTATTTGTAACTATTTTTTGTTCCCTCCCCCTCTCTCTCTTCATTTTTTACTCAATAAACAATCATCGTAACCGAGTAAGAAAAAAATGAGTCGAATGTAAAGTGACCATGACATTTCAATAACAGCAACAATAATACCTTGAGCCTTGACAACTAAAACTAACATCATTAACCTCTTTTCCTTTTTGTAAATGTTTTTTTACCATATTATTTTTTACTAATGAAAACTATTACATTCCACTTGTTTCAATGATGAAAATAAAAATATCCCAATATGCATGTAAGAAAAAAAATAAAATTTTCTTTATACAATTTCTGATTACTTATTGATTTCTTCAGATGTTGGATGTTAGGTTAGTAACATATTTAGCAGAATATGTTGATTGTATAATGTACTGAATGGTTAAAATAATTGGCAAAATGAGTTATTTTTTCCGTAGTTCGGTAGTTTTTATGAGTCGTCGGAATTTTAAAACCTGAGAAATGCAGAATATCGTAATGCTACACTACATTAGTGCAGTTAGATTAAATTATCATGATAAGGCTTGGAGTAGATGAAGGCCGAGTCACAAATAGTATGGTTTGGAAAGGAAGTACGACAAAACGAATTGTGAATGGATATGAGACGTCACCACATTGAACCAAAACAAATATTCTCCAACCACCTACATGACTGTTGACCCCATTGATTGATGCTAAGTGTGGGTTTTACTGTTCTTAGCTCTTCTTCGTCCTACACTAGCATACACTGCATGTCTAGCTAGGCCGTATTTGGACGTATATTAACGTGTCCCGATCACAAATCGTTGAAGGTCTACTACTTTAGATCTAGCCACGGTGTTCCCTATTCTGTGGTTTCAACATTTGAGCATTTTTGATCAGATATTATTAAACCACGAATCCCCTCCATTTTTAAAAACCATATTTCACGGACACAGAGTGTATTGATACGCAGTATACTCATTGTTCGAGTGAAGGATTTATTAATTACTTCAAGGTACCTAAAGTTCAATCGAGATTTCTAAATCTGTGCAGAGAATTCGTAGGACACCAATCCACAAAAGTTAATTAGCGACTGACCTATTAAACTATTACACTTCCCATCATTAGTTTACGTGTTGACGACGATCAGTCCCGATCTAAATTTTTCTATGTAGAGGGGGTAGAACGCATCAAGAACATGCTTGGATGGCTCCTCAGAGATATCAGAAGAATGCATATTACCACAGCCTTTTCAAAAACGACGTGAGTTCATATGACGGAAATGTTACCATTAAAATGGTGGTTCCAGAAATAATGAAGATACTCCTATTACGTAATGTGACAAAAGTTCCTAAACAGATTGGAAAATATGTTGAAATTCTTGAGTTAAAAAAACATTTAATAAAATAGTTCTTTCCTGTTAATAAAGTAGTTGGAAGGTAGTCAGTAACTCTATTTGGAAGCAGGTCAAGTTTCTTTGATGAGTGCGATCTGACTTTTTATTGGCCCTATATCTCCAATCTAATCGTATGACGATTGTTACTGAAATATACATTCTGTTAACTCTTGTATATAATTATCAATTTAAATCGCGTTAGTGTATAACGAAATTAAATAGGCCAAATACGAGAATGGAACTTGAATACGTATATTCCATACAATCATTCATCTGAACAGGCAATCAGAGAGACGGAGTGAAGGCATTGAAACAACGAAAAGAAGTGACGTGCACTGGAGAAAACCAGTGAACAAACTCATTTTAATCATACGTGACTCGATATTTATAGTCAAACAAAAGTAAGACACGTAATGAATAGAACAATTAATTAACGCACATAGGATAAAATGAAAACAGTCAGGGTTAATAAGCGAATAATTGACATGATCAAAATAGGGTTGAGAAGACTGAATAAACTGATCTGTCCAGAAGCTAGAATAGCCTATCTGGCCAGCCACTACAACCGTCACGGAAATTAAATATACTGATGATTGACATTTTTTGGATTTGTGACATCCAGCAAACGATGTACACTCAAACGTTCAATAATTCATTGAAGTGCTAGTGGTAGATGTTTTAGGAAACTTGAGATAATTAATAGTAAATATATGAATATTTTACTAAATTTTAGAGATTTGGGAAGCTTTTTATGCGGTTGACCATTGGACACCCAATCCAGGTCTTGATAACTATTTAATCGCTATTATTTACTAGTGGATCAAGATAGCTCTTATTGAATGGAATGATAAATATCTTTCTCGATTTGTTTTAAGTTTAATGACTTTGTTTGTGAACACTCGTGTATAAAATTTATAATATTGTGTAATATATAATCTATCATAATCCGTGTTGAGTAAATTTGATTCATTCACATGTCTTAGTGTATTCATCAATCGTAGTTTGTTATCATGTGGTGATATCAAATTTACAACATTATATTACAATGGTCTGGGTATTATTTTATTGAATTGGAAGTAACATACATCGTGACTGACGTATATTATTGATCATTAGTTAAATCCTATCATGTCCTTGATGAGTGTTTATGATCCTATCAAGTATATTTTCAGTTTCTTAATAAGAATGAAATTGGTTTGTAATTTTTTTTGTTCCTTTGTTTTAATATTCAGTAAATTATTGTTACTGTCGAACATAATATTATCATTTTGTTACAGATATGTATGTTTAGGATCATACATATATAAGAATGAATTCACCGGAAAGTAAACTCTTCACTGAATCATCGATTTTCAATTAAATATCCTAAAGAAATCTTACTGACTATTAATGTATCAGAAGGGGTTTGTGGAGATTTTTAGAAATGTTCACAGATTGAAATCATGAGTCAGTTGAAGCTAGACCACTATTGAAAACCTGGAAGCACTGGACGGCCGTTTCGTCCTAGTATGGGACTCCTCAGCAGTGCGCATCCACGATCCCGCACCACGCGGGGCTCGAACCCAGGACCTACCGGCTCAGTGGTCTAATGATTAAGTGCTCGCGCGCGAAGCCAGTAGGTCCTGGGTTCGAGCCCCGCGTGGTGCGGGATCGTGGATGCGTACTGCCGAGGAGTTCCATACTAGGACGAAACGGCCGTCCAGTGCTTCCAGGTTTTCAATAGTGGTCTAGCTTCAACTGACTCATGATTTCAATCTATTAATGTAACGTATTTGATTTACTTATATAGGGTTTCCAGCCAATTCAAAAAATTCCTTTGAATTACAACTATTCTCCATTCAATATAAATGTATACTATGGGATCACATTTAAAATATTTATAATCTTCCCATAAACATTCAACGATACAGTTTGTTTATAATTTGTTTGTATATTCTACTCTAAAATAACAGTGTATAATAATAATAAGGTATACTGACAATTTATTTGATCTCCTGTTTGTCTTAAGAAAGAATTGTCCTTCTACCCTTAATCATAACTATTCACATCTATTTACTTCATATATACACTAACAAATCAGATACACGTGTTTGTTTACATCAATATTTGTATAACTAACCCACTAAAAATGCAAAGAAACTACATCGTTTCCTCTTAATATACATCAAACTAATTAAAATAGATCCTCATTTATTAAATAAATAAACAAACAAACAAACATTAAAAACAATACTATGTTGTTCCCATGGTTTGTGAAACATTATTTTTATATATTTTATTTGCAACTATGATGTATTTTGTTCTGTTTGTTTAATTTATATTTATTTATAACAGGTAAATCAAAATAGACAGTTACAATTAATTATGGTTAAATTCAGCTTTAAGGAAAATTTTCATCATTATTATCAATTACTATTATCTATGTGAATAAATGACCGTTTAAGTTTGAAAGAAAAAAAAAAAGAAGAACAAGAGATTCACCAGCTACTTATATCCGGTTGTAGACAATCAAATAAAATGTCAGTTAACATCTCAATGAAAAAAATAATAATTTTTTTTAATCAATACAAAGTGATAATTATTTAGACTGAATGAATATTGAATGAAATGTTTATATGCAGTTCTGTATAAGTATTAATATTATTACTATTACAGTATGTTGATTAAGTACATCTGTAGAATCGTTTTTTTTCTCTTCTCTATCTTGTTTTACTATAGTTAATGTATTTCAAGTACATTTTAATACAATAAATTCTGTGTATATGTTTTAAATTATTGTAAAATATACAGGAAGTGATTATATATATATATTTAATGCCCACCGCTAACTCTGAATTAGAGGGAACTAGGAGATTGATGTTGCTTTTCATTAATTCATTTCCTGTTATACAAAAATTAAATGATGATTCAGTAAATGTTAATTAGATTAGTTATTTAGTTAAACTTGTTGGGAAGTGATATTTATAAATTAAATTGTATATAGTTTTCATTATAAAGTGATAATCGTAAGGGAATTATTGAATAATTCATCATTTGAAAGTTTTTACACTGTGTATCCATATAGTGAGAACTCAGTAGAGTTTAGAGTAATATATACATTGTGCAAACAAAGTGGTAACAATATAAGCATAACCTTTGATTCTATTTATTAAATAGTACATTGCACTCCATTAGGCCTTTATTTTTGTGAAATAACTTTTGAGTTGCTACAGTGTACCAAACTAAGTGAAATCATACCTACAGTAAAAATTTAAGAATAAATATACAGTGAGGTGGTTTCCATTTTCGAATTCCAACCAATTTGAAATATCAACTGTTCAGTAGAACAGTTTAACTGTATTACTTTGAACTACACAACATTAACGATAAGCAGTTGAATATATTTTGGGTTTTCTACTAGAATTATTTAGATCAAGAGGAGGGCTGAATTACACACTTCATCGAACATTGAATGTAGATATGAAAAGGATGAATAGCAACTGGAAAGGATTGTCCAGGACAGAGTTGGATAGAGAATGCTAGTGGGTGGCCTATACTCCACTACAAGGGGTAACATGCCTAATTATGTAAGTGATTAATCAATTGATTGATTTCATATTGAAAACAGAATGAATAGCTAGTTACTATTGATCGATTGTCGTTAATAATCTTTGTAAATTGTTCACCTAAACATATCTAGGTGATGTGGATAACTTTGATTTTCTATGCATAAATTTTAAATCTTCATAAAATTTGATCTGTCAATCACAAAAAAAAGCCTAATTTCGAATAGTTTTAAGGCATAACCTCATAAATGGTAATCTGAAAAATTATTTATATCGGAATAATATCCTCAAGTGTATAAGGTCAAAAGGTTATTTATGTTTGTGATATTGACAATGTTCTCCTTTAAACAAAAATAAAT